TATTATACAGAAAGATGCAGAATCACCACTGTCTCTTTCTAATGGTGAAAATCGCAGATCGATAGCTATCATCATTAAAAAGTTATTCGAAAAACAACCACACTTCTTTTAATTTGAAATGGACATTAGTTACTGATAACTTGTCGGTGATAATATTAACTCTATTGAGATTAGCTTTAACATTCTTCTGTATTACTCAAACGAAATAAAAAAAATGATTTTCGATGTTGTCAGAAAATAAGCGAAGAAAAAAAGATGATTTCAATTAATTTAATTGATTTGAATGATTCAATGTGATTCTAATGGAATAGAATAAGCTTTTTCTTTGTTGATCAAAGTTCAGTTTGTGAATGAATCAAATTGGCAACATCATATTGAAATCAATTATTAGATTGACTATCTTTTCAAATGATTGAATACATTTAAAAAACTTACTCTAAACAAAACTGAATAACCTCATATTTTACATTATAGAAATCGAATTAGAAAATCATTGTGAAAAACAACAAGTTTTCCTAACTTTCTAAAAGAAAATATTTGAATAGCAAAAATATTTCATTTTTTCCTATAACTAGAACTATAGACCAATATTCAATTTAAATAAAAAAAAACTATGAAAATAAGAAAAAGAATTGTCCTAATAAGATATATTCATCAATGACTTAAGCGATTTCTTTATGTTACTATTAAAGAGAATTTTTATAATTAATTAAATATTTCAGTGAAAATAATTATTTTATGAAATAAATGTGAATGATACTAGCAAATAAATTATATTTTAACTATGAGAAAATTTTCTTCAAAAGAATTTCTTTTTTAAGAAATTCTTTTATTTTTTTTGCTTTTATTTTTGAAGAAAAACATTTAACGATTTAAAACGAAAACGGATCATTGCATATTTTCTTCATTATTTTCTAATTGTTGTTTTTGTTGTTCTTGTTGAATAGACAATGATTCATATGTCCATTTAGGATAAACACGTTTGTACAGATTCATAAATACTGTATCTTGTGATTTAAGAATTCCATCAAATTGACATTTCATATGACCATGTGTACCTTGATATTAAAAAAAATATTATTTTTATATTTAATTAATAGAAAGAAAATAACAAACCAAGTGATTCTTTAATATGTCCTCGTCGACCCCAACGTGTACGTAATTCAATTGGTTTAAACCAGTTAACATCATCTATAATTAATTAAAGATAAAAAAGACTCGAAATTATTTAAAAACAGAAAAAAAAAAAAACAAACCAGGATTAAAAAACATATATCGAATAACAGCTGATCTTTTATGAATTTTAAACGGATGTCCACTTAAAACAATTCTTTTTAATATTAAACGATCAGGATTAACTGAAATAAGAGAACCAGTAGCAATTAATTCTTGACGACCTTTATTTAGAAAAATAAAAAATAAAATTAATTTTATTTATATTAAATATATAATAAAATACCATCAGGAAATTGCTTAAATGCCAAAACAGATGCTGGCGGATATGTTATTGGACCAAAACATGTTGCTACTAATGTTTGATGTGGTCGAAAATATCGTTCAAACTATAAAACAAAAACAAAAATAAACAATATAAATAAATATTTTTTCTGTTTATTTAATTATATAATAATAACAAACTTTATGTTTATCTCCATTCGTATGTTGAGAATAAATAGGTGCACTTGCAAAACGACGATAACCAACATGAAATATAATACGTTCTTTTGATTTAACGATTATTTCACTATCATTTGTACGATTTAAAACCATATTTAATACAGAAAGACATTGTTCATATGGTAAAAGACCCGTTACAAATAAATGATGACCAGGTTCTATTATAAAGAGAATTTTTTAAAAATAAAATATATATTTTTAAATCAAAAAAAAAAAATCTTTTACCAAATCGATTGACAGGAACATCTTTTACATAGAGAGTTACATAACTATGAACCTTTAATAAAAATATAAATGAAAATAATTATTTTCTCAACATAAAATCTTTATTAAATATTAATATGAACAAGTTAAGAAATTCTATTAAAATAAAATTCAAGATTTTAATATTTATCTATCATTATAGAAAATTTATTTTTATTATTAACTATTAAATTAATCAGATAGATTTTATTATTCAAATAGTTCAATCATCAAATATTTTCTTCAATTAAAAACAAATTCATTTTAAAAAAATCTATAATTTATTGATAAATCTATAAATTAATAATAATTATTTATTTATCGAATAGTAAATTCAAACTTCAATCATTAATTATAGAAATATATTTCAACATACACAACTGTTTCAAAATAATATAGTTAGAGAAGATAATCATTATTATTTTAAATAATTCTTATTGAAAATCATTTTCATAGATTGTCTTTCATAAGTAACGATCATTGTTAGAAAATATACTTTAAACTCTATTAAAGATTGTATTCAATTAGTTTTGCTCGTTTTCTATTTGAGAAAAAAAATGAAACAATCTCTCAAAAGATATAAATAATCAGCTCAGCGTCTCTTTTCTCAATATTTATCATGGAGAAAAAAAATGTCTGATGAATCATTGATTTGAATAGGCTAAACATTCAAATTGAAATTATTATTAAATATTTCTTTTAGTTTTTCTGATAAGATATCAAAATAAATATTTTTATCAAACGACTGTAAAACATCATAAGAATAAGAAAAATAAACAAGTTTAGTTTAAAAAAAAAACAAACTATTTGAATATATTTATTTAATTAACCAACATAAATAATAATTGTTTTCGTGATATATATATATAATGAAAATATAAAAGTTCGAATATCTAACCTGAGCATGATCATGTTTGTGTTGATTATTTTCTTGTTCATTTTGAATTTGTTTAATCATCGATCGAAAATTAGGAAATTGATAAATTCTTCCATAATCAGATGGTAAATTTTCTTTAACATCCCATTTAGTTGTTCGAAAACTTTTTAAACCTCGATATCTTTAATAAACAAAAAAGAAAAAAATTATTTTATTTTATTTAAAAAAAAAAGAAAAAAAAAAAATCCAAAATAACACTTTTGAAATCTAACACGAGCAGGAAAATTAATTGGTATATCAACTCGATACGGGAGTTGATAATCTAATTTA